TGTTATTCAAGCAATAGTCTGACATGATATAGGGTTTTCTTGTAAACTGATGTTGTTACGTGTTGCAACATCACCTCCAACCCATGGCAACCGCATGACTGAGTGACCTCCAAAATGTCCTGTCATCAAGAATCCTGATCTGCTTGACTTGAACTTGATTATACCAGTATTCTTCAGTATACATACATTTCCTTCATTTCTAATATTATATTCATTCTACATATTTAATAATAATAATAATAATAATAATAATAATAATAATTTATTGTCATTGTAAGTATATACACATACAACGAAATTTACAGACACCCAGAGACCAGACACATTGTAATGGAATCATATTTATACCCTAATATATGTTGTCCTGGATTGCTTATCTGGTTTATGCACAGTGATAAATTCTTGGTTGACTGACTGTGGTCTATGCCATGGGATCTCATAAAGTAGGGATACTTTCCTGGGGCCATGGGACCTGAAATCTTGCTCAGTTTGTACATGGGTGGCATGTGGATGAGATTGCTGGCACAGTCTTAATTTGGCAAATAACTGGTCCATCTAATTCAGTGCTCAAATCTGACTAGAAGCAGGTCTCCAGGCAGGATACTTTCCTAGCCCTACCTGGAGATCACTAACATTCCCCATGTAGTCTCCAATCCAGATGCTTATCATCTGAAGTCAGGCAAGATCTAGTGTGTTCAGAATCGCACGGTGATGGTCCTAATATAATTCTTCTCTTCCTCTCATGAGTCTGAGTGGGTATGGAATATAACTGTGGTGGCTATGGATAGACTTTTTCAGCCAGTGCTGCATTTAAAGCAAAGAAAAGCCCAAGGCTTCATTTATATAACTTCCATCTCCTACCTGCAGGATCTCCAGCTGAGCTTCTATCTACTTGTCTAGTGAAAGCTTTCAGGATCTTTACGCTAATAAGATATTTTTCTTTCGACAAGTTTTTTGCCTTGTGGCATGCTTTTACAGTGCTTAGCAGGAGTCAAAATGAACTGGCCTATATAAACACTTCTCTGCGGATCTATGTATTCAAAAATCAGCTGGATATTCCATAGCTGATACTCCATTTGCAGTCCAATTCAGAAATAAGCAGACTGAGAACCCACTAAGATAAAATGGATTCAGCGTGCTTTAACTCACTCGGTTGCTTTTTCTCTATATTTGATATCCAGCAGAATTAGATATTTGACAGGCAACATGTTCAATTTCTGACATGAGTAGCAGGAGGGCGCTGGTGGGTATCCACTTTGAACAACAAATATTCTGGTCCAGCATTGATATGTCTGTGGACAGCAAGTCTGTGAGTGACTCTGCCTGTTGGTCTGACTTCAGCAGTGAATGGCCTCATATTACTTATCGTTGAAATGGGATGGTTGATAAGCATTGCTGAATTTTGTGAAACCCGAAAATTTATATTTTCCCACTTTTAAGACACGCATAAGTGAATGATAGCAATTATATTTCAATGACTGTAATTATTAATTTGTATTACATGCTTTTGAATGTTGACATATTTCCAATGGCTGTCAACAATAACTGGTGATATCTCAGAAATTTTGAACATTCACACATTTTTCTGTTTCACATTCTGTAGATTTTGGACATTTACTGCAACACACATAGAAACTGATTCTCAGCTGATCCAATTTGAACATTTCTCAGGAAATCTGATAAGACAAACCTATTGTCAGGATCTGGCCTGTACTGCCCTGGGAACTGCAGGATCAGGGCCAACCTGAGCCAGGAGTGGCCTGGTGTTTGCAGACTCAGGCCCTGGCCTGTGTAGCAGCTGCTGGGCCACTCATGAGGCTCACCTGGAAAACTGGAGGAAAAGCCTATTTAAGGAGTGGTTCTCCCTCTCAGAGCTTGGCTCAGCAACAAAGGTCTTTTGGCTACTTTGTTGTTTCAGAGGTCTGGTGTTGTTTGCCCCCTACATCTTGGCACCTGGTTCCTTCTCTGTGTGCTCAGCATTGTACCCCTGCCTCCATTTAGTCACAATCAACTACACAGTGAGTGCCATTGGACTTGATACTCTGTGTGGAGAACTAGGTGCTGGTGTCCTTGCTCCTGGTTTGGGGCTGCCTGGGATACTCTGGACTGGGACACCTGTGTTGTTAACCATCAGTTTCCCTTTAGTGCTGCTCCTAGTCTGATTTCTAGGTACTGTAGTATGTTTTACTGCTGTTTCTAAATATTGCTTTTTTTTAAGGCTAACACTAAGGAGTGCAATACCATCAACTCATAAGCAATTATAATAGAGGGCACAAAAGAAAGGGAATGTGTTTAGCTTCCAAATGATGCACACCAATTTACCCCTTTATCTCCTCCTGCATAAATGCCAGTTATTCACTCCTGTGGGGAAAAATAATTAAAATGGGGCCATGCTAATTGACGAAGTCCAAGAGTTGTAGTCCAAAACAGTAATGTTTTAAACTTGCTGATAGGAAATAAATCACAGAAGCATGAAGCTGGAAAGGACACCAAGGGTCATCAAGTCTAACTGTATCAATTTTGAGCCTTGCTATTAGATGTGAGTAGTGTCCAATTTGATTCATATCCAAATATTTGCTGTAGAGATTGGGTTCATCCCAATTGCCCCTGGTTTGGAGGCAGCATGAGGGACAGTGAACAGGGAAGACAAAGGGCTCTGATCTTGGATGGGGGGGTGTTACATAACAGCACTGATGTTGTGATCTTGGATGGGGGGGGGGGGCATGCTCATCAGCTTTGGAAATGTGGTAGATCTTCAGAATATAGGCAAAGATCCTACCAGCTTCCTTCCTTCCATTCCCCAGGTAGCTGGCACCCTATTTCGTGAATCGAACCTTCAGTCCCTTAGCCTTCCACAAATCTGCCCTGCATCAGCACCATTAAACATTAGGAGATACAAGAAAGTAGGAGACAATGGTGATGGTTGTTGTAGAGCAGTCCATTATTTTGAGTTATCCAATCAAAGCCTGCATGAGGAAGTCATTCATTCAGGGAATGACAGGGGCATAAAGGAGACGTTTTCTGTGCCAGGCTAGCATCTCTGCAATGAGTGAGATTAGCAAAAGGGCCTGTGAAAAATGGGTCTGTGGGTCCTGTTCTGAAACTGTTGGGTTCTTAAAACAAGATGTCATTCTTTAAACTGAGGTGAACATTTTGTTGTTGTTGTGTCACAGGTTTAAAAGGTCAAAAGGTTTAAAAGACAAGGGCTATAAAGGGGTCATGGGTTTTAAAAGGCAGAGAAGCACTCCTTTAGATCCTTAGTAACTGGTGCCAAATATAAATGCTATCTGGCCACTATTACATGAAGACAGAGGAGCAGGGAATAGAAATGCCTCTGAAATGGGATTTTTAAAATAATTTCCATTTTTCACGAGCAAATCCTGCGAAGAGTCTCCTGGTAGATTGATATGATTCACAACAGGTTTCTTTGTATTGCTGTTCCTCATGTCTGATTCATATCCATTAATTCTTTAACGTAGAGATGGTCCTGTTTGTCCTATGAGGGGCATTGTCAGCAAAAGAAGGCATAGATCACATTAGCAGAAGAACTAGTAAAAGTGTCCTTGATGTTGTGTGTGGCATTGTTGTGTCTTGTTATGTTGCTGGAGTAAATGTGGGGCAGAGCTAGCATCTGGGTTTGTACCAAGGTACTGTATACTCCCCATCCCTATATCCAGAGGTGGGATTCAGCAGGTTCGCACCTATTCTATAGAACCGATTCCTAATATCTATCTATCTATCTATCTATCTATCTATCTATCTATCTATCTATCTATCTATCTATCTATCTATCTATCTGGACATAGAACCTGTTGTTAATTTATTTGAATCCCACCACTGCCTATATCCATGTTCTGTAACTCGTTGTGTGTCAATAGTTGCCTATGATTGTGGGGTTGTCTGTACAGGCCTGCCACCAAGTGCTTGGGAGAGTGAATTATCCTTCTCAAGGATGGGTTGGAGATCATTTATGATGCCTGTGAGTGGTCTCAGTTGTGAGCCAAAGCAACAACCAGTAGTGTTTGGCTGTTTTCTGGATCTGTCTTAGAGAAGGTTGCTTCTTGGTATTCATCTTGTTCTATTAATTTATTCTTCAACCATATTGGATGGATCTTGTAGTCTGAGAAATGTGTTTTGAAGATCCTTGAGTTTGGAGTCTTTATCTTGTGGGTCTGAGCAGATGCAATTGTACCTGAGGGCTTGGTTGTAAACAATGTATTTTGTCATGGGCTTGGGATAAAATCCTGGAGGCATGCAGGTAGGTATATTGATCAGTGGGTGTTTGATACAGTGTGGTGCTAAGATGTCCATGTTGTAGCTTCACACTGGTGTTGAAAAATGCACCTCTTGTGTTAATTGGTCTAGGATGATGTTGATGTTCAGATGAAAGTTGTTGAAATCCTGGTGGAATTTCTTTAGGATTTCTCTTTCTGTGGGACACTTTTTAACGTGGCAGATTTGATTTCTGTTGTTTTTTTTCTCAAGGTGAGTTCCAAAAACAAAATCAAGTTAAGGGAAGATGAAGAGCAGTCTTAGCTTAAATCCTTAATGTAGGAACCAAAATAAATGTAAATACTCTCAGGTTTATTTATTTGGCAGAACAGATTATTTACTTCGGTGGCAAATGCCACAGCTTTGCTAGAACACAACGTTGAAAAAAATTATCTCTCCCAGTTTCCTACAAAATCAAGAGGACTCTCCCTCCAACACCCCCACCCCTTTTACAGGAATGATTCTAAAGAATGTCAAAATGCAGTTGGTGCCCCTTCCAAGTATTTATTATTTTTGCAGCTTTCACTCCTGGTTATTCAGTCTACATATAATAAAACATTTGATTGTTTAATAATGGTCTTTACCATTATTTTGCCTTTTCTAATTTTTTCCCCATCCTTTTCACATTGTTTTGACTTCACCTTTCACGCCCACAAAATAGATTTTCCACTTTGGAACTGCCTTTTGAGAAAATAATACCTTATGTATCTAAATAAAATTCCTCCTATTCAGAATTTTTGGGATAGGTTTTTCCCCCTGAAATGGTTGATTGAGGATTGCTATTTGGTCCACAGAACCTTCCTTAACCTGGATAATTTTGAGTAAGAACAAATTTGCTGTAGGAATTAGTTAAGTCCAGACTTTGAGCCACAAAGTAAGATATTATTCTCTCAGCCTTAGTGCCTTCATATATGCATGAGGGCAAGGACATAGGCCTACCTCACAGAATTCTCACAAGGGACACTGTACCCATTTTTTTCATACAGTTGTTCGATGCAACTTTCTGTGAGTACCTCCTTATAGAGAGGGGCTCAGAGTAGTACAAGAGAAAATGGTCTTTGTATTTGCGGCTTCCAATCAATGAATGCTCTCCCTAGCAAGGCCTGCTTGGTCTTGAAATTACCATATTTTTCTGCCAGGTAAAGACATTCCCTTTAATCATTGGCATTTGATGAGAGGCTAGTGGGCAACTTTAAAATATTGGCCTTAAACAAAATAAAGATTATGCCTGATGCTTTATATAATTTTTGGGGGACACATCTAATTTTATGAGATAATAGAGCTAAATTTGAAGGCAGCGTGTTAGCTGAGGTGGCATAGGGCAGGTGGTTTATGTGGCTTTGTCTTCTACCCTGGTGTCTCCTCACACCTTCCGCCACTTGATTCTCAATTTGCTTAATCGTAGAACTGACTCAAACAGCTTTCTTTTGGAGTCATTACATCTATATAGAAACCTACCTTCTACAGAATGCAATAGTCAATAGCTGTTAGTTGACTTGAGAACCATTTACTTGTTTGACAATGTTGCTTTGTGTGTGTTTTTTAAATTTTATTTGTAATGCTATTTAAAGTGGTAGCCACTGTGACATCTTATGGTGGTTCCAGAAATAAGAGGAGGTATGGAATATTTTCTTCACCCAGCGCCTGCCAGTTTCCTCACAGTGCATTCAGTGTTCCAAAATCACTAGATCATGGTCAGGTGACCGCCTGTCTGTGTGAAATTGCTATTCCTTGATGAATCAGATCATGGCATGATCTTCTAGCCCCATGCTCCTACCAGCTTAGCTCTATTATGAGAAGAATGAGGTAGTACTTTCAGATTTGCCAAAAAGGCTTCTCGGGTCTGAAACAAAGCACTAGTTTGTAGTATTTATGAGGAGAATTGTGCCCCTAACATTTTGATCGATATGTTATGAGGGAGGAGCCCTGGGCAACTCCCAGAGCTGTACAGAAGGCCTTGGTAGTTCACAGGCAGCTTTTAGGCACCACAGTTTTCACTCTTTCTGTCTATACAGTATGCTGGTCTGTGAGGGAAACAAGGTGAATTGTTTGGAGGGTTGCTTTTGAATTGCTTGCTTCTATACTGTGTTTTAGTTCACATTTGATTTTTTTAGTTCTCTATGCCATTATTGCTAACTGCATTGAAAGCCTTTTGTGTGTGTGTGTGTTTCTGGCAGGAATGTAAAGGCATTAATCAGTTACTAAATAAAATATGAAATGACCCAATCGTTTGACTTCACAGAGCCATTGCTAGAACGTTGTTTTCCCAAATTGTGTATGTGTTAACTTCTCTCTGAGGCTGTAAAAAATTCCAACAGGGCATTAGATTATGTGAAATTGGATTTGAATTAAAATGCTCACTGTCCGCTTTTCCAAATGGAGCATTTGTTTTCAGAAAAGCACTCAGTTTGTCAGTTACTACTGTATTAAGATTTTTTCCAGCCTTCTAAATAACATAAGTTATGACTCAGTATTTTCAGTGACAAAACCCATGACTTTGAGAGTTATTTTGTCCCCTCGTGAAGGCATGGTTTGTTATGAGGTGTTCCAGATGGCAGGGAATTGTCTTTTAAACTTAATTGTAAAGCTAAATGAGAAGTTCTTCCTCATTTCTCACACATACACACATGCCCAGGCAGCCTACTCACCATGTTTCTATGCGTTTCTCCCTCACTATGCTAGTGAAGGTTGATACCTGGCTGAAGAAACTGCAGCTGTTGCTCCTGCTGCTACAACCATCTGCTTTCCCTTAGCCTTAGCTCTTAGCTGCTCCCATATTCTAGAAGAACATCTCTAAACATCATAGGCATTGAGAAGGCTCTGAAGCAGGATCCTTTAGGTGTTCATTCGAACAACCTTTGGATCTACAGCATGATCAGGAAAGCCAGCTGTTCAAG